GTGATCTGAGTGTTCACAAAGACCCCCGGGAGCGGTGATCTCACGTCAGGCTCTAGCTCACAAAGCCCCCGCCGTCCATAAGATAGCGTGACTGCTGTAGAGTGGAATGGCTGTGGCACCTAACTGTCTCTCGTTTCACGTACTTCCCCACTTAGTGGTGATGCTCGTAGCAGAAGAAGCTTCATAATCTGAATACCAGAAATACATTCAACACATTAACCTTAAAACCAGTGTTTTTTAGGCGACTTAATGTAGGAGTCCTGGCGTGGTGCTGTAGGATAGGCCCTGGGCTGCTTAACCACTGGGTCAGAGGTTCAAACCCATCAGCCACTCCTTGCAAGCGCTATACAAGGTTGCTGTGAGTCGGAACTGACTCTACGGCATTTAACACCCCAAAATCTAGATTAGAGAAAGCATTTCCATTTGGGCAAAAGTTTTTATTTTGAATTACTGTAAGAGTTAATTCCCAGTCAAAACCCTGACTGTTCTGAAGTATATGATTTAAATAGTTTGTGGGTTTTGTTGGTTATCTATTTATATAATAGGTGATTAAATCAGTATTAGAATTATTCTCACTAGAATCCAAATTTCATTTCCTAGATGAGATTGTCTTTTACCACGTAATATTTTTTTTTTTTTAAATGTGGGCACACTTTAGAATAACGCATGGTAGAAGTCAAATCGAGGTTTCAAACAAAATAATCATCAAGTACAAAGTATAACATGGTAGAGTTTTTTGTTCTTTTAAAAAAAAAAAAATTCTAACAAAAGCTTGCAATACCCTCCATGTACCATCAGTTGGCGGTATTGTTTGTTTGTTTGTTTTAAATACATTAGAGCTTACTAGTTTAAAAACAATATTCAAGACACTTAAAACTTCCAAGATCACAAGACAGAACTGGTATATACTTATTAACTGGGTGTTCAGGATGGATTTTGTGTGTGTGTGTTTTTTTTTAATAGCCCCATTTTCATCATTACATTGATAAGTCAGTAGCTGAATTATATATTAAGCCCCATTTTCATCATTACATTGATAAGTCAGTAGCTGAGTTATATATTAATTTTTTAAGGTTGTTTTTTTTTTCTCTTTTGATCTTTAAACTCCCTGTCCTTCACATCCCTTAGATTTTAAAGTTACATTTGTCTTAGGATTTATCAGGGTTTTTTTTTATGGATCTCTGTAGTACTTTGAAGTAATCTGCTTTTGTAAATTCTGTTTTGCCTAAAGCATCCCTCATAATGGATTGAGGTTTTTGCTTTTTATCAGTATCATAACTGAAATATTTGCAGGTTTCCTCTCTCCTAACAACTAACTTCTATCCAAGAGTCCTGGCAACTCTTTTCAGATCGGATTAGTGTAAATAGCGTTAGTGATTTTCTTTGACTCGTGTTCTTCATAAAGTTAGGTTTAGAATTTATTTCCAGATAATTCTGTAATGAATCAAGTCAGTATGTACTCATACTCACAGGGAGGTTCAGAAGCAAGTGCATTTCTTGGTCAAAATCATTTATGAAAGTCCAAGTCCAAAGGATTTAGCACACAGGTAATGCAGCTTTGTGAAGAACTATATAGAATTCCAACTAAATACATACTGAAAACTGCCATTCCCATGACTGGAATTCTACGGTCAGCTGTACGTTAGCAACCGGAAAAGCCCTGGAGGCCCACTAATTAAGAGCTAGCTTGTTAACCAGAAGGTTGATGGTTCAAATCCGCCTAGCAGCTCTTCAGGAGAAAGACCTGTCCAACGTCTTCTGTAAAGGTGACAGCCAACAAAACTCTGTCACACGGGGTCACTGCAAGTTAGAATCAACTCTACAGCCTCCTACAACGGCCAGCAACAGTGTGTCTCCAGTGTCGATGGAAATTATTATAGAGCAGTTCTCTTAGCCCCCTCCAACTGATACCCCTCTTGGAAGTCATAAGATAAATTGTACCTGTGACCTAGAACTAGTAAAAATGTGTACAGGTAGTCCCCAACTTAGGACATACTCAAGTTACAACAAACGGCGCTTACAACCGTCCTTTTTAGTTTTGTTGTTCCTGTTTATTTAGTGACACCCTATGGGTGACAGTGTGGCAGCGCAGAGCTTGCTGATGTCATCGTATCTGGAAGCTTGTATGTAGTGTTTCCAAATCCCAAAGGCAAAAATAGTGAAAACTGGTTTTAAAAAAAACAGGAAGCTTTCAACTTACCATCAGAACCAACACCTATGAAGTCACTGGAACAGAACCCCATTGGAAGTGTGGCACTGCCTGTAGTTCAGAAGCCCATAAACTCCTTTTTCCCATTTTGTTACCTCTTCATGTGAGCCTCCCTGTTCATCCCAAACAGGGTATTTCATTAGAAATACCTCAGCAGTTTCATAATTATGAGCAATTTGTGCCCACAAAGCTTTAAGAGATATAAAGAATCAGGCCAGGCCCATGGCATGAAAGGACTAGGAGCTGCGCTATCCTGGAGAAGAGGGTGCTAGCTACCAAGGGTGCACATGGAAGATGCCAGCTCACCTATAGAGAGCTGAGGGTTTGTGACGGAATCAAAGGACATACTGTTTCGTTATACGGAAACGCAGCAGGCGGTTCCATGAAAGAATTTGAAGATGAGATTGTAGTTCTTCATCCTGAAGCTGAGGGCTCTCGGAGGTACCACAGTTGACTGGTATGGGTGAGGCCAGGGATCACTGTGCTAACAGAATCCTAGAAAGATGGCCGTGCAGCGTGAAGAAGCTTTGAGATGGGTTACTCTATGAGCTACAACCCCCAAATTAAAGACACAGGCCGAACCTATTACAGAAGTGGATTTATTTCATTCCGTTTCTTCATGGTATCTTAGATTCTGTGCGAAACTTAAAGCATCAAAAGTGAAATATATAACGTGCCCAGTGAAGGAGGCTTCCTGCCGAGCCTCTGCAATACATAAGACTATAGGTGGAAGCCTGAACCATATCCAGATCTCCAGAGATGGGAAATTCCCACTTGAAAGGACAAGCAGACCAACCTGGAGTGGCTAGAAGAACAGAAGATACTTCTTGAAAGAAAGACCTACAGGAAAAATATAAAACAACATAGGCAGACCGACTGTTACTACAAGAACAAGCAACTTGCTTGCCCAGGAAACATCAAGGTTAGTGGTCGGGTCCCCTCAGTGCAAACCCCCTTCCAAGACTAAGACTCAGTGGGAATACACACCGTGATTGGTGACCACGCTCAACACCGGTAAGGGGAAGTGAGGGAAAAACAGCAATGAAGCGGTGAGCTAAGCCCTACAACGTTCAATAGACTTCTGTGAATCTGAGTGAAGACCTGGTTGACCAGCAGTGTGGCAAGACCTGGGAACTCTTGGGCCCAGAGTCAATGACATAGCCACAGAGGACTAGAGTGGAGAGTGAAGCATCCAGCTGATAAGAAGAGAGGGCATATGCATAAGAGCACCCACACTTGCAGATAATACCCACTTATCCTGGCCTCAGTGACTGGATGATCAGTGCTCAACCAGAAGTAAAAAGAAGAGGGGGAAAAAAAAAGTTTTCTCATACAATTTAATGAACTTGACCTACACCTATGGAAGCAGTAACTCAAAAGAGGGAATAAATCCTTACAGGAAGAATCATCCCCACCCCTTCCACACACAGAGTAGACAGGGATGGGCAACTTGGACATTGGCTACCCAAAATGGGGGGGCGGGGCAGGGGGCTACAAAGGCAAGAAGTGACTGGCTTACAAGCTTTCAAGAGGGAACCTAGACCCAGAGGGCCAAGAGGAAGGTAGAATCTCCAGTGAGTAGTATTCAATCTGTCTAGGCGGGACTGATGCAATGAAAAATGCAGACGGGTGGGTCTCTTGTGATACAATAGTGAATAATTGTTATCAGGACTGTTTTGTGAGGGTCGGAAATGTAAAGATAGATGTTTTATAGCAAGGAGGGGAGTGATTAACTTTTCAGTCTAGGAGCTGAGGTCCCTAGGACCATCAAGGGAGAAGAGCAGAGAGTGGGACCCTACCCAGAGAAGCAGTGATGCCTGAGATGGAGCCAGAGATGATGACGTGGAGTGATGGAGCAGCTGGGGACTTTAGATCCAGAGAGGGAAAGTGACTGTGTGCTGAAGACCTAGGGGGTACAGGGGAAGGATTGCATGGAGGGAATTGTAAGCATGGCAATGAGACGATATATGATAGAATGAATGTAAAACTAATGTTCTCCCATGTAAACTATCACATAATTCACAATAAAACATTTAAGAAAAAAAAAAAGTGAAATGTATAAACTAGCATTTAGCAAGGATTCAATTATTTGATTTTATTGAATTTATTCAAACTAGGGTTTTGCTTTGAGTTCTGTTGTTAAGTGTTGTTGAGTTGGTTCCAACTCAAGCGACCCTGTAGACCTTTATAGTGTTTCCAAGGCAGGAGCAGAAAGTCTCATCTTTCTCCCTTGGAGAAGCTGATGAAACCTGCTTTTTGAGGGCTTTCTCCCCTAAGTTATACATGACTCTAAGAAGTGCTATTGTACAGGGAGGAAGGTAAGGGTTCAAGTGAGTAGAGGTCAATACTGTTAACTGATGGTATGTGGAGGCATGACAGTCATTGTAATGAAACCAGGTGGATGATTTTGTTGAATGTCAGACTGATGATCTGCTCTGTAAAGCATCACTCAATTCATAATGCAAAGTGTATTCTTTACTTCTGTTTTTTCTTCCATAAGATGAAACTGGTTGACCTGTTTCTCCAGAGGTCACTAGGGGAATCTATGAATATGAAAAATTTGGGAAATGTATAGAAAAGTGGAATTCCCATAGTAGAGTTCATGCCGCAAAGGAAAGTAAACAGCTTATCGATGTAGCACCATCCTGTCCTGTCTGTACTCATATTTTAATATATTCTTATACAGAGACATTTTATATATAGTATAATAATAATTGTACCATGTTCTGACTAAAAAGATAGCATTATTGTACAGGCACTATTAGTACTAATATGGAGTTCTTCTTTCCAGATATTAAGGAACGATTCACAAATTACGTGCTTTTGCTAATAGTATGTCTACGAAACATGGAACAGTTTTCTTGGAATCCAGGTAACTGACTCTTAACCAATACAGTGTTTTGTCATTTTACTCTTGAACCATAGATCATTCTTTTAGATGGACTAAAGTGAATTATCACCTGAACTCCCAGTCAGGTCTAGTGTTTGGGTCATGGAAATAACTTTTTCCATAGAATAATTCTCTGTGCTGTGATGCTGTCTTAGCTTTATAGGGCACCCATGCCAACATACCGTGAAGTGAGTGCCTTTAAATTGTAGAATTTTGTTTTCTCACAGCAATATTATTACCTGTAATATTGTGGAATCTCTTCACATTAAGAGAATTAATTGTCTCGCTTTTTCCCTCCCATTTATAGATCACCTCTGGGTGTTGTTTCCCGATGTCTGCATGGTGATTGCATCAGAAATTGCTGTGGACATTGTAAAGCATGCATTCATCACCAAGTTCAATGACATCACTGCCGATGTATGTGTCTTAATCAGCAGTTCCGTCTCTAGAGTTGACGTAGGATTGTGAACTTGTAGACTACAAAGTTTAGATTTGCTGCATTCACAAAAATGACACATTAGTACTATTTTAAAGTTAGGATTACAATTTTAAATTTCTAAAACTGATTTCACTAATGGAAGTATTTTATTTTAGTTACTAAACTGTCCTGGTACAGGGGCTAAAGAAGTAGTTGAGTTCATTGCTAACTGTTAACGCTGCCTTAATCACTGGAATCTGAACCGCCTGGTCCACGATTCCAGGCTCAGCAGGAGAAAGACTGGGCTTTCCTCTCCCATGAAGATTTGCCGCCTTAGAAACCCTGTACATGGTTGCTCTAAGTCAGAACTGACATGACGGCATTTAACGACAACAGCAAATGACCTGTTGTTTCTAAGGATAAAATTAGACTATCCAAACTTGTATCTCTGGCTGGGTTTACTTTAAATGTTATTTCTGGTGAAAATCAACTCACCATTAAGCCCTGCACTAATTCAACTGTCACTACAGGTCCAGGTCTGTGGCATTGGTTACATTCTTCAAGTGGTACAACCATTCTCCAAGGCCTTTTCCAAATTATTGCATCACCTTTAATGTAAAGTCCGTGCCCCTAAGCCTCTCGCCTAACCTCTCTCGTCGCTGTTGTCAGGTTGCCCGCTCACACAGCTGACTCTTTCACACAGCGCTGGGCTCCAGGCAGGCTGCCTTTCCTTACTGTAAAGATGACATCAAGCAATAGTTTCAGAGTACAGACAGATTACAGATGATCTGAGGGCAATAGCTTTGAAGAAGGGGGCCCATCCAATCTGGGTGGGTTTTTAAAATCTATTTTAAAATTGGCATTTTTTCCTGTGATCACGAATAAGTGCCTAATACATTCTAGAAGATGAGAGCCTTATATTTTTTTGTTGAAAATATCTGATGAAACAAAGGTTGTTTTATATTGCAGTCAGCTATATTATCTATTATCTCTTGTAATATTATACCTCTTAGAATAGCTACTTTCCCACAAATTCTAAAACTTAGCATAATAATCATTGACTGTTTCTCCCTCTGTAAACTGGAAAGAGAAACGTTTTAAAGACGTGTGAGCATGACAGTTCCCGAGTGGTCATGGGACTGAGGCACTGTTTGACCTTTAGCAGAGGAAAACACCTCACAAAAGTGTGCCCAGCTGTCTGGTGAAACCCATGGTGAATTAGTGGACCTTGTTCCTGGCCCATTACTTGCATACACAGAGTGTTTTTAATCTATAAAGTCAGAATCCTTGCACATTGCCTTTTTGCACTGCGTGACTTAATACTTCGTTTTTATCTATCTTTAGGTCTACAGTGAATACAGAGCCAGCCTTGCTTTTGACCTTGTTAGCAGCCGACAGAAAAATGTGAGCACTGTATCCAAACCACAGTCAGACTGGAACTGCATGGTGGTCTCCTCCCAGCAGGGCGTTTTAATTAAGGAAAAGCTGCAGAAACTCCTCCTCCTCCTCAGCCCTGTACTGCAAATGCTGCACAGTAACAACCATTTAAATGCTCAGCACTTCCAATAGTGCGTGATTTTTACAGCATTGTCGTGGCTATACAGCTTGGTACTTAAAACTTCGTATCAACAGTTAGATCTTGACAGTGTTTTACTAAGTGAGGTCGTGGGTGCCAGGTTCTCTTCTTGCTCGAGTTCTCACCTGTTTAGAGTCTGTGCTGAGTGAGCAGGACTGCCTAGCCCCCACCCCCACCTCATTCCCTCAAGGTGTTTGGTGATAGCAAAGAAGTTTCCATAACTTTGTCCCCTGTAAGCTCTCCTAAGGGGTCCTGCTGTGGCACTGTAGGATAAGCACCGGACTGCGAACCATGAGATCGGTGGTTCCAACCACCAGCTGCTCCTCAAAAGCCCTTCCAGGGTCACTGAGTCAGAATCGGCTCTACACTTAACAGATATTCTACTGTATCCGTTGGTCTATCTACAGCGTAGAGAATGTGTAGACATATGCTTGGGTATAGTCTCCTTCTCCTTCCCATACCTGTCCAGCTTGCGTGTCTGTCTGTACATCTGCTCACAGATTATTGTCATTACTTTGTTGTTGTTAAGTGCCATCCAGTCACCTCTGACTCATGGTGACCCTATGCAGGGTTTCCAAGGAGCAGCTGGTGGGTTTTAACTGCTGACCCTCCAGCCACCATCCCAGGAGACCATTGTTAGTGCAAGATTGTGTATGTAACAGGAGTTACCTCTGTTGCCTGTAATTCAAATACTCCTTCCAGTATGTTCCTTTGCCTTCTTCATTTTTTGCTGCTCTTCTTGAACTGTCTCCCCCTTTATCAGTTATATGTATATCCTCTAGTTGGAGTCCTGGTGTGATGCTGTAAGATAAGCACTGCACCATGAGGTCAGGTTGAACCGCAAGGTCGGCAGTTCAAACCCCGCAACCACTCCTTGGAAACCCTGTCCAGGTTGGCAAGCAGCAGCTCCTTTAGTTAGGTATTTACCCTTCCTCCCCCTCCACCCCTGGCAGCCATCATTTTCTAATGGAGACCTTTCCTTGGCTTTTTGTCTTAGTGGTCGGTCCCCTTTGGTGACTGTTTTGCGCAGCATAAAGCCTTTGTTTTTCAGTCTGTTGTCCTCAGGACATTCTAATTCTTTATTGGTTTTTGCTCTGATGAGTCAGGACACTCGATTTTTCCCGTTCTCTGTAGCTTTCTCTTTATCCTCTTTATTGTGATTTTTAAATGTGACTGGGGGATGTGGTTCTCTGTGGCCTTGCCATCTAAGTGCATTCATTGTGGCATTGCTGCAGTTCTCCGTGCCCAGGGGCACTGTTTGTCACAATCTAGCCTCAGTTTCCTGAGTGGGGAGTGGATTAAACCTGTGCAGCAGTCAGCCCTGGCTGGTAGTGCTAGCTGTGCCTGTCTTCCCACCTACTGCTCTCCCTCTCTTAGGGATTCAATTGTGTGTGTCGTCCCCCCCCAAAAAAAAATAGAGTCCTAAATCCTAGCCCCTATACTTGTTGATAGAATCCCCTTTGGGAATAAGCCTTTCTTTATTTTATGAAGGAGACCCTGGGGTGAGTTTTTTTATTGGGGATTCAATGAAGGTTCATTGAGCAGATCATCAGTTTTCTATCCAACAAACCATCCACGCGTCATTTCGTCTCCCTCATTGTTCCCTCTGTGTAACTGCCTACCTGTGCTGTTTCCATTCCTCCTCTTCTCTTAACCCTTACTCTGAATTTTGTCCTGGGCTAACACGGTTGACCGTTCTAAGGTGTGCGTAGCTCACTAGTGCTGCTGCGCCCCCCCCCCCCCCGTAGGCCTGTCTGTTGCTTGGCTGACAATTGAGCGTTGGGGGTGAGTTAAGCTCCAGACCTGAATGGTGGCCCCTAATCTCGGGGGTTCCCCAGTCTCTCTGTGATGAGTTCGCCTGGTCATTTTTTATGCATTTGAGTTTTGTTCCATATTTTCTCCCTCTCTAACCAGGACCTTCTAATGGGATCCTTTCAGAGCAGGTGGTCGTGGTAGCCAGGCCCCATCTAGCTCTTCTGGTCTCAGAATCTAGGAGCCTGATAACTTTTCAAACATTCTTTCAACTGAGTCGGAGTCGTTGTCTCCTTTCTCTCTCCAGGCGTATACTGATTACAGTGATTCTGTGGCACGGAGGATGGGGTTCATTCCTCTCCCACTGGCTGTTTTAGTAAGTCTCTACTTTCCTTCCCTTTTTATGCTATAACCATTTTTACAAAATATGAGTAAGTGGGTTATCAATATGCTTGTTTATAAAAAGACTTGATATAAAAATAAAAGATAAAATTACTTAGAAGAAACAATGGTTTTAAATGACAGCATCATCCTTTCTAATTCTGAACCACCCAGTAGATAAGTGGTGTTAGGGAACTGGTATGCTAAGACCTTTCAGAACAATGAGAGTATGCTTTTTTGCTGATTCATTTGGCAAAGATCTTTCCTTTTAATGACAGTCCCTGGTGGTGGGCTTTGATTCCCTACTGGTGGAAAGAGAAATTAACCCAACATTTTTGGAGCATATTTAACACTGTCGATTATGCTCTGACGCAGTAACTCCAATTCTAGGAGTTTATCCTAATGAAAAAGTTATTTAAAAGACACATAATGATTTATGGGTAAAGGTACACAATACAATTTATAGTAATAAACATTTAGAACTAAATAAGAAGGTTAAATTAAATTATCGTTTGTCCAAATGGTGAAGTGTTTTGTATCCTTTGTAATTACTACTTTTTAAGGTTAACTTGATTCCAGCAGTTGGATGGTAAGCCTAGGTTTGCCTGACTGTTTTTAATCAAGAAAAAGGGGTTGGTTAAATGGTGGAATTGGAATATAGCTCCTGTTTTGCCCAAAAATGATTGACTTAATTTGTCTCCTGACCCACTTGCCAAAAGCTTTGTTCATAATGATACTCTTTTTAACTTCGTATTTCTCCATTTTCTTCCAGTCTTTGTTTTCTTCTTTAGATGAGTGTTAACAGTTTGTTAAAACCAAAAGATGTTAACAATTGAGTAACAAAAACACTCTGTATAACTTCCTCAATTTTCTAAGCAGATTATTGAATTACACAGTGATCTAGTGGGTTTTTCTTTTGCAATACTTTTCTCACAGACTTTCAAACTGTCACCGTAGCTGTGGTGGACAGACATGTGGGTACCTCAAGGAGGAAGACACTGAGGCCTCAGTAATCCATTCTTCAACTAGGTCCCAAGGATTGCAGTTTCCTTAGGAACATTGTTGCATTAGATCTTAAATGGGTTTATATCCCAAAAAAGGTGATAAAAAATCTTATTATCAAGTTCCCATGGAAATGAGACTTTGGGATTCTCCATCTTAAGGAGCTCTGGTAGCGTAGTGGTTATGAGTTGGGCTGCTAATCTCACGGTCAGCAGTTCAAAATTAATCAGCTGTTCCGTGGGAGAAAAATGAGGCTTTCTGCTCCCATACAGTTTTTCAGCCTCGGAAACCCTATACAGTGTCACTGTGAGTCGGAACCGACTCCACGGCACACCACCACCACCACTACCATCTTCAAGTTGCCTAATATTATCATAGATCAAAATGAAGTGTCTTCAATATGGAAATGGTATGTTTTATATCCGTGAATACAATCCTGGAGTCACATTAACATGCCTTTTCCCTGTAAGAGATTTGGAACAGGTGCGGGCTTCCACTCAGTGGTTTTATAAGGAAACATTAGTGAACACATTACAGCCAAATCCCCTACTTTTGTTCTTTTATTGAAAACATTTTTTAAACGTATATTGCGGTAGTTATTTAAGATATACAGAGGTTGCTATGAGTTGATGCCGACTTGACGGCACTTAACCACAGCAGTTAGACATTACTAGATAGGCCCAATTATTGTCCCTGATCTATTTCCACACACAGTCCTCGTAGGCCCTAATGTAGTGCCACAGATATATTGATAATATGTAAATATTGACCCTTGGCAGGTCCCAACAGACTTATCCAGCAGACCCCAAAGGGGTCCTGCTGTGGCACTGTAGGGTAAGCACTGAACTGCTGACCACAGGGTCGGCTCTTCAAACCCACCAGCTGTTCCTGGGAAACCCAATTCAGGTTGGCTATGAGTCGGAACCGACTCGGCAACACTTGACAGTGTTGTCACTGTAGCTGTTAAGCGACTTAGTAGTAACAGGTGTTGGAGCATCACTATCCAAGAGGCAAAAACGTTCTGACCTTTACGTCATTCATTCTGTCATAGTAGGTAGGTTTTTTACAAGTTCCACCCTTCTTCAGTTTCCTTTTCTCAGTGATTCCTGCAAGTCACTGAAGGCTCTTCAGGTGCCAGAGTCAAAGAGGAAAGCAGGGATACAGAGTCTGTGTCTAGCACTGGGAAGGAAATGTGTAGCAAGAAGTCTTTTGCACTTCTCCAAACAATTTTCCATTTGAGAAATTGCTGATCCGCGTCTGCTTTAGATTGAAGTAAATGTGCCGTTCATGAATGTGCCCAGTGTGACTCCAGAGGGGCCAGCATTCACCACGGTGCCCTAGCTTTGCCTGAGCAATTCAGGTCTGCCCAGCCCGGGTCAGCGTCAGGCAGGGCTCCATGAGAGTGGGTGTGTCTCAGGGACATCCTGACGGAACCATTAACTAATCACTTGTGGTCTTCTGTCTTGTGTGTGTGTCTTTGTCGTTCTGGTTTGTTTCTGGCTAGCTCATCAGAGTTGTAACAAGCTCAATTAAAGTGCAAGGAATCCTGTCTTATGCCTGTGTCATACTCTTCTATTTTGGGTAAGTTGGGTAAGATGAACTATTCTTTTCTTTCTGTTTTTAACGGCTTTATTGAGGTATAGCTGACATGCAATCAAGTGTACATATATAAACTCCATAGTTGATAAGTTTTGAGATATATATATGTATGCACCATAAAAACATCACCACATTCAAGAAAATGAACCTAGACTAGACATCACCTCCAAAAGTTTCCTCAGGCCTCTTTGTCATCCATTCCTCCTAACTCAACCTCAGCTCCCACTCCCAGATAAACATGAACCTACTCTCTGCGGATTCCACATTACTTAGCGTCTTTTTCTATCCATGGAATCATACAATATGCACTCTTTTCTTGTTGGTATGCCTTTTTTCATTCAACATAATTATTTGTGCTTCACCCATGTTGATAGATACAATAATCTGTTATAGTTTGGCCGAGTAGCAGTACCACCCCATTGTGTGGCTAGACCTCTTTGCTTGTCTGCTCACCTATGGCAGCTATTTGGGCTGGTTCCAGTTCGGGGTCACTACAAAAAATGCTGCCCTCTGAATGTTCTTGTCACGTTTAGGGGTGGACATGCTTTCATTTCTCAAAAAAATGCCTAGATGTGGAATGCCTGGGTCATAATATGGGGGCATGTTTCATTTTTTTTCTTCTTCTGTATTTTATTTAGAATCTTGGTGCGGTGCTATAGGATAAGCATTGGACTGCTGCTGACGACAAAGTCGGTGGTTCAAACCCACCAGTCTGTTCTTGGAAGCCCTGTACAGGGTTGCTATTGAGTCGGAACCAATTCAAAATCATTTAACAACAAAACCAAATTATTTACTTTGTTATTGTTGATCACACAAAGCCAACATACACTGATTCCCCTATTTCTGTGTCATTTAGTGACCTTGATTACATTCTTTGAGTTGTACAACCGTTTTCTCCTTTCTTTCTGAGGTCGGCCTCCTTCATTTACGTAATCCCGAAGGTTCCGGTCCAGTCCTTCGAATTTCTGTTGTCACTTTGGTTCTGTGTAGATAGTGCTTAGAAGAGTGTAGGCTCAAGGCAGACATTTTAACACTGTGGTGGTTTTGTACCGTTGAGTCGGTTGTGACTCATAGCGACCTTGTATAGGGTTTCCTAGGAGCAGCTGGTGGGTTTGAACCACCAACCTTGCTGATAGCAGTCCAGTGCCATAATTAAGCTAAACTATCTTTTAGTTTTAAAAAGACTTCAGGGGATTTGTTTAAGGTTTAAAAATCATTTCAGGGCAATAGTTTTAGAGGTTCATCCACCCTCCATGATTTTAGAAAGTCCAGAGTTCATGAGAATTTTAAATTCTCTTTTGCATTTTCCCCCTGATGAGGATTCTTGTATGGAGTCTTTGATCATAACATTCAATAATGATACAAGGTCACCATCCAGTTCTGTTCTAATGCCTCCGGAGACAGTTGTTCCTGAGGTAATTATCCACGTTCCGTATCCTCCTTACCTTACCCTCCCACTTCTTCTGTTAGTCTAGATGAATGGAGACTTAATTATTGTACCTTGGATAGCCATTGGCAAGCTTTTGAGACCTCAGGCACTGCACAGCTAACAAGGAGGGTAGGACAGGAGCACTGCTAAGCATATTATTAGGCCAGTTGTTGAGATTGCCCATGAAACCATGACCCTAAACTTCCAAGCCAATAAATCAAATCCCATGGAGTCCTGGTGTAGCGTTGTAGGGTAAACATTGGACTGCTCACCTCAAGGTCGGTGGTTCAGACCCAGCAGCCACCCCTTGAAAGCCGTATATAGGGTTGCTGTAAGTTGGAACTGACTCAACAGCACTTAACAACAACATGACATGTTTGGTTATTAGCAGCCTCTGAAGCGACCTTTTTCTTTTTGTCATTGTTATAAATAGATCACACTTTTTCCAATTCAAATTTTGACAGGTGTATAAGATCAGCACTGCACTGTGAGCCACAAGCTCAGCAGTTCAAACCCACCAGTTGCTCCTTGGAAACTTATCCAGGGACTGACTCGATGGCACATAACAACAATAACAATAGTAGCTTAGTTGTTGGCTGCTGTAGGATGGGCACTGTACCAACACAAGGTCGGTTTGAACTACAAACGCCCCAGCCACTTCTCGGCTGTGGCACTGAACACCAGTTTATTGACAGCAATTAAATTATTTGGCTATGCACCCCTATCCTTAATTAATGCAATTTTTCATCATCATTAACTTTCTCTTCCCCTGCCCCCCTGCCCCTGGTTTGTTGTTGTTGTTAAGTGCCGTCGAGTCGGTTCCGACCCATAGCGACCCTGTACAGGGTTTCCAAGGGTGTAAATCTTTACGGGAGTAGAAAGCCTCATCTTTCTCCCGCGGAGCGGCTGGTAGTTTCGAACCGCTGACCTTAAGGTTCGCAGCCCGATTCGTAACCACTACGCTACCAGAGCTCCTTAGCCTGCCCCTGGTAGCCAGTGATAAACTTCTATCTCTCTACATTTGCCTTTTCTTCTCTTATTATACAAACGAGGTCATACATTTCACTCAGCATAACGTCTTCAAGATCCCTTCATATTGTAGCATGTATCAAGACTTCATTCCCTACTGGCAAAGTATTACACTGTTCTGTGTACCACGTTTAGTTCATCCATTCATTTGTTGATGGACATTTGTTTCTGCCTTTTCACTGCTGTGAATATTGGTGTCTCAGCAATCACGTTATAGGGATATGTATCAGCAGTGTGGAAGAGTCCTCATTTCCCTACATTCTTGTCAACATTTGTTACTTTCTTTTTCTTTCTCAGTCTTAGCCATCCCTGTTGGCATCAGCTCTGACTCGTAGAGGCCTTGTCCTGTGTACAACCGAATGAAACCCTGCCGGCCCCGCATGACTGCCACCATCGTCCTGCCATGTGTGGCCCATTGTTGCAGCCACTGTGTCAGTCTGTCTCCTTGGAGGTCTTCTTCTTTTTCACTGACCTTTTACTTTACCAAACATGATGATCATTCTCCAGAGATTGGAGATGTTCCATTCTGATCATGTGTCCAAAGTGTCTGAGACCAAGTCTTGCCCTCCTCCCTTCTGAGGAGCATTCTGGCTGTACTTCGACCAAGGCAGATTCGTGTATTTTTCTGGCAGTCTATAGGATATATAATATTCTTCACCATCACCATAATTTAAATGCATCAATTCTTTTGTTGTCTTCTTTATTCATTGCCCACCTTTCGCATGCATATAAAGCAATTGAAAATAACCATGCTTTTTAATCAGGCACACCTAAGTCCTCAAAGTGACATCTTTATTTTTTAACATTTTTAGGAGAACTTTTGCAGCAGATTTGCCTAATGCTTTATTGGAGTTCTGTGTAAGATGAGCAAGCCATGATATTTTCAGTAACTTCTTATGCATGTGAAAGCTGGACAATGAATAAGGAAGACCGTAGAAGAATTGATGCTTTTGAGTTATGGTGTTGGAAGAGAATATTGAAAGTGCCATGGGCTACCAAGAGAACCAACAGATCTGTGTGAGGAGAAGTGCAGCCAGAGTGCTCTTGGAGGCCAGGATGGCAAAACTTCATCTCTCATACTTCGGACATGTTGTCAGGAGGGACTAGTTGCTGGAGAAGGATGTCATATTTGGCAAGGTGGAGGGTCAGAGAAAAGAGGAAGACCTCCAGTGAGATGGATTGGCAAAGTGGCAGCATCAGTGGGCTCAAGTGTGGCAACAATAGTGAGGGTGGCCCAGGATCGGGCAGTGTTTTCATTCTGCTGTGTGTAAGGTCGTTATGAGTTGGCACCGACTCAGTGTCACCTAACAACAGCAACAACATGGACAAATTATTGAATGATGCAGAAAGCATCAAAAGAAGATAGAAGGAATATACAAAGTCACTGTACCAGAAAGAAATGGTTGATGTTAAACCCTTTCAAGAGGTAGCATATGATCAAGAACCAGTGGTCCTGAAGGAAGAAGTCCAAGGTACACTGAAGGCATTGGCAAAGAACAAGGAGCCAGGAATTTATGAAACACAAATTGAAATCTTTCAGCAAACTGATGCAACACTGGAGGCACTCGCTGATCTATGCCAGGAAGTTTGAAAGACAACTACCTGGCCAACTGATTGGAAGAGATCTGTATTTGTGCCCATTCCAAAAAGAGATGACCCAACGGAATGCAGAAGTCATTGGATAATATCATTAATACCCCATGCAAACAAAATCTTGCTAGAGATATTTCAAAAACAGCTGCAACCATACATTGGCAGAGAACTTCCAGAGGTTCAAGCCGGATTCAGAAGATGTGGAATGAGGCATATCATTGCTGACGTCAGATGGATCTTGCTGAAAGTAGAGAATACCAGAAAGATGTTTCCCTGTGCTTTATTGACTACACACAGGCTTTCGATTGTGTGGATCATGACAAGCTATGGACATCATTGCAAAGTGTGAGTATTCAGGAACACTTGATTGTGCTCATGAGGAACCTGTACATAGACCAAAAGGCGTTCTTCAAACAGAACAAGAGAACAGCAGTGGTTTAAAATTAGGAGAGGTCTGTACCAGGGTTGTAATCTTTAACCACACTTATTCAGTCTGTATGCTCTGGTAGCGTAGTGGTTACGAGTCGGGCTGCCAACTCCAAGGTCAGCAGTTCGAAACTACCAGCTGTTCCGTGGGAGAAAGATGAGGCTTTCTGCTCCCATAAAGATTTACAGCGTTGGAAATCCTGTACAGGGTTGTTATGAGTCAGAACCGACTCCACGGCACATAGCAACAACACAACATGCTGAGCAAATTATTCAAGAAACTGGATTATATGAAGAAAAACATGGCATCGGGATTGGAGGAAGACTCATTAGCAACCTGTGTTACTTACACAGATAATACAACCGCATTTGCTGGAAGTCAAGAAGACTTAAAATACTTACTAATGAAGATCAAAGAGCACAGCCTTAGATATGGGTTGTAACTCAACATAAAACAAAAATCCTCTCCACTGGACCTATATATGTCGTCCGTATAAGTGGAGAAGAGATTCAAGTTGTCAGAGACTTCATTTTGCTCTGTGTAGCCATCAAGAAATCAAACGACGTATTGCCTTGGGCAAATCTGCTGCACAAAGATGTCAGTTTGAGGACTAAGGTGTGCCTGATGCAAGCCATGGTATGTTCAATAACCTCATATGCATGTGAAAATTGGACAGTGAATAAGGAAGACCATAGAAGAACTGGTGTATTTGAGTTATGTTGTTGGAAGAAAATATTAAAAGTACCATGGACTGCCAGAAGAACAAACAGATCTGCCCCCCAGAAGTTAAGATGGCCAGGCTTTATCTCTCATACTTTGGACAGAATGTCAGGATAACCCTGATATTCTATCCAAAGTATGAGAGATAAAGTCTGAATAGACCTGACATTATGGAGAAGAATATCACATTTGATAAAATGAATGGTCGGAGAAAAAAGAGGAAGACCCCCTATGAGATTGATTGGCACAGTGGCAGCAGTGATGGGCTCAAGTATAGCAACAACTGTGAGCTTGGCACAGGACCACGCAGTGTTTCCTTCTGGTGTGCCGAGCGTCTCTATGAGTGGTTACCAACTCGTTGGCATGAGCAGCAACGTTAATTAAATAGCTCTCTTATTTTCACTAGTCGTTTGTTGAAGATTTTTATATTTGTAGTCATAAGAGATATAAGCATGTAGTTTATATTCTTGTGGTGTCTTAAGATGGAGTATTATTGAATATGTTTTTGCTTATATTGTAAAGACAGTATGCATGACTTACAACCTATAGGTAATAACCAACCCATATAAAGCCTATTATATTAACTTTTTAGATGTGTACTTACAAAGGTTCGTAATAATAAACCACCTCTTTGCAGCTATAAAACTGGTCCTTGGCCACTTGTGGTCTCCTTCCACATGTAAGCTGATGTTAATGTGAGAAAAGTTTTCTTGCCAGCATTCCTCAACAGATTTGTATCAAAAGTGTTAACTTTTGACCCAGAAGTTTCAGTTTTAGAATTATAGTTATTAAGAAACACTTGTTAAGGAAATCTGTAACCATACTATAAACTGTAGTTCATGTATAACCCATATATAGCTTATATATGAGTTGTAAAACTAGCCACACAGTAAAACAATACAGGAGGACCCCTTAAGCGAATGGTGCTGAGGAACACTGACGGAGGCGGAAAAAATGCTCAGCCGTTAGTTAATAAGCAAACAAGCGGCAGCACTCATTCCTCCCTCCTTTCCCCCTCCCTGCAGCAGGCCCTCAATTAACTTTGCAGAACTTGTCCAGGTCCACACAGGTCAGGCAGGATTTAGACCCACACGCTTGGACCCTAGTCTAAACTCTGGCTCAAAACACCCACCCTCTGCCTTGGAAAATAGTTCATACCACATGATCCTATTTCTCTACAGAGGAATGTGCTAACAGACATGTACTCTTTACAAAGCCACCGAAAGATAATATCCCAAAATGTCCACCAAGATTGTCACTGGGCTGTGGAATGAATTGCACGTCATCGTGTTTTGTTTTGCTCATCTGATTTGCTAAATAGAATTGTCTTGTAATACGAGAACTGTTGTGAAGTGGATTTTCGACTCCTTGAGAACTGTGCAAAGAGCTGCCCCATAGACTCTTCCCACAGGTCTTTGTCCCAGAGAGCTACTGGCTGCGGTGGAATTGCCAAGCTCTCGGTGAGCTGAGCACTTGACTGTCAGGCCACCACGGTAGTTCATGGAGCACAAGGAGAAGCAGTAAGGCCGTGTAGCCCCCTATAATGAGTGCTGCACAGCTGATCTTATTATTTCTTGTGGTGAACAAGCCTCGGGGCCAGCAGGCAGTGCGGAAGGCAGGCTCTGTGCCAGCAAGTGGCTCATCTGAAGCCCTGGGCCTCAGGCTCCCAGCCGATGGCCAGTGGGAGGACAGAGGACACAAGGACTTTGACAGTGGTGATGTATGGTTTGTCTCTGGTGTAGGTTAATATCCCTGAAAGTCCTGAATAGTATCGTGTTATTGGGGAAATCCTGCCAATATGTGAAGGAAGCCAAAATGGAAGAGAAGCTGTTCACCCCGCCTCCAACCAGCACGCCAGGCAAGCCACCCAGTAAACCCCAGAGCAGAAGCAAACTGCCCCAAGGTACGTGTGGTTCTTCTCACGGCTTCTCCCAGGCCTTCTCTCTGTGTTCCTTGTTTTCCTGATGTAAAGAAGTACAAATCTATTCAGTTAACAGTGTTTTAAATTTTGGTTTCACTTTATTTAGGGTTTTCTGTTTTTAAATGTATTGTTTTTGAGATTGTATCACAGGTACGCACGGCACAGTGCTGGAGTTTTTAACATTCACTGTTTGTCAGATGACTTTGGAGCACATAGTACATGCCAGGTCCCAGGTGTACAAAACCAAAACCCACCAGTTACTTGAGTGGATTCCAACTCCTGGCTGCCCGTGGGTGTCAGAGGAGAGCTGTGCTTTCCCGGCTCTGCTTAACGATTGCTTTCTCAGGAGCAGATTGCCAGACTTTGCTTCCACGGTGTCTCTGGGTAGAGTCACACCACACACACTCCTGAGTTTGCTAGTCATGTGTGCCATCCAGGGAGGCTGTGGAGTCTGCAGAGAGAAACCACATGTTGCCTCTGTGCCCTCTCGGAGCTGCTTCTAGACAGAAGGGTGGAGGGAGAAAATCAACAGACTGATGCTGTGCACTATGGCAGGCAGCGTGCTGTGGAGGAACGTAGAGCCAGTTAGCGGGACAGCTCTCCCTGAGACCAAGAGGCTTCAGTGGGTTGGAGGGGCCTGCGAGGCTGTGGGAGGACCCATGCATGGGGTTTGAGGGGACTGGATCCAGCTGGGCTTCCATTAAGAAGCTGCGAATTCTCCTGCTTTGTGGACAGCAGACTCAACAAGGGCGAGTCCAGGCAGTGAGGTAAGGGCAGGGGAGTGGGGTGGTGGAGAGCTGCTGGGGTACCGGCGCAGCCTGAGGAAAGAGCTGAGGTGGCTCCCAGGCTTTGAGCCCCCGCAAGCCCTAATCAGGGAGTGAAACAGCTGCCCCAGTTACTGTATGAGGATGGCAGCTCCCCCTCCTATTGGTCTGTACCCACGTGACAGCTAGCGTAAGTGGTTTTTTCAGGTAAGATAGAGATGCTGGAGGTACAGGGGTCAGCGAGCCGAGTGATGGGCCTGCCCTTTAGGGCTCACAGCTCGGGTTCAGCCCAGGTGGATGTGGGCTTCAGGGTGTGTGGAGGAGCGGGTTCTGCACACCACGACCATGGAAGAGTAAGAAGCCAAAGAGCAGCCGGAGCTCCTCCGGAAGGAGCGTGCGCGTCCGCAGGGGGAGTCCACAGAGGGAATGACGTCTCCAGGGCACCAGCACGCCGCAAGCCGCGGAGTGCAGAGGGGGCTCCAGAGAGGGGCTCCGGGGAGCTGGGGCGGCCGCTTCCCGACTAAACGGCTCTCTCCTTCCCCAGGCCTGGCCTCCGAGGAAACCCTGTCTGCCTCAGTCACCAGCCAGCCTCCGCACCCGAAGGAAAACATCATCCCGCTTCTGGTGACCAGCAACTCAGACCAGTTCCTGACCACTCCAGACGGTGATGAAAAGGACATCACGCAGGAAAATCCTGACTTGAAACACAGATCCGCAAAGAAAGATCTCTTAGAGATAGACAGGTTTACAATTTGTGGAAACCGGATTGACTGAGGCCAGTGTGGCCCCGCGTGCCGAGCAGGCGACATCAGTACCCGGGCTGCAGACGCCGTGCCACCGGGGTGGACAGGCGTGACAAGTGGCACTTAAATATTTATTTAAAACTTAAATTATTCATGGCGAGCAAATACTAGTCCCTTTCTTCCAGCTGTGCAATGGGGTTGAAGGTCAGGTCACGGGTTCAGGACAGCCACAGCCTCCAGCTTTGACTCCTGGGGAGAGATGGCGGGTTGTGGGCACTTTCCACTGCTGGCCGAACTGCAGGTCACCCAGGACCCGGCGGGAGTAGCGTCAGAATCACGTGTACTTGTCCAGCGTGCTTCCAGAAACGGCTGGTAGGGTGTGCCGCCTCGTAAGTATCAGGATGTAGCTGGAAAACGGAAGCTCCGCCTTTCCAGCCTCTTAAATGATGCTCACAGGTTCCAGACTCCATCTGCCAAAGCTTTAAAAAGATGATTCACCATAAGTCAAGAGAACTGTTGTTATCACCACCTTAATCCTCTGAAGATGTATCTGAACTAATCGGAATAAAAGGCTACTTTAAGTAAGACATGATGCATAGTAGCGTTTTATAGAAAAACAAGAACCCTAAGCCATGTAGTTCATTTTGTAATGGAAAGGGAAAAAATGTTAATGCAGGTTGTACATCACTGAGAAATGGTTTCCTGGGTTTTCCATCAACTCTTTAAGGCAAAGTAGGAGCATTGTGGTGTGAAGTACCGTGGAGGTTCAGGCCGCTCCGCTCTGATACGATGGAAAATGGCGGCCCTCATCGGAGGCACTTGTGATCGATCATACAAGCCAGCGGAGCGGCCTGAACTTCCAGGTCTAGTTACCGGCCTGTGCTCTAAGGTGAATTGCCTTACCAGTTGTCATAGTGGAAAGGATCTGATGTTGAACAAGATGGAAAATTGCCAGTATACGAAGTTCAAGCTGTCAACTTTACCTGGGTTTTTGGAATAACCCGTTCAAAGTAAATATCCTAAAGTAGATTGAGCAACATTGTCTTGCTTGGGCTTCTCAAATGCATTCTGCTTTCAGTTTAGAACCTGGTGGGTATCCCAGTGCCAGGGGCGGGTCTGTTTTGGCAGAGGGTCTGTCTGGGGAAAGGTGACTGGGTGTGTCTGTTGTGGGTATGCGGGTGGGGCTTGCAGTGAGAAGGGTGACGCTTGTGGGGTTGGGGTTCATTGTGGAAGAGGCTCTGGCTCTGGGGAGGTGGTTGTGGGTGTGTCTGCTGGGGGGTGAGGCTTGCTGAGAGAAAGGTGCTGCTTTTGGGGTTGGGGTCCATTGTGGGGGAGGCTCTGGCTGGGGAAAGGTGACTTGGGCGAGCCTGTGTCTGGGGTGCGGTTTGCAGAGAGCTGCCTGGCTGGGGAGTGGAGCAGGCCTGTTGGGAGAGCTCTCAGTATGGCAGACTGTGGGCATGGACAGGAAGTGTGTCCTGTGGATGTTGGCAACAGCAACCAAAAATTGCTTTTTGGTTTCCTTTAAGATCCAGATTCCATTTTGGCTTAATGACTCGTCTGTGGCCTAACATAGAGAACAGGTTATTTTCCACCATGGTTCACTTAAGAAACCTGCCTGCATTTTATAACTATCTTAACAACTTCTGTTTCAAAACAGTCCAGAAAATATTGTGTCTGTTAACTGTTTTGATTTTAAAGTGCAATTCTTATGCAGATGTTTCAGGCATATGTTGTGCAGAAAGTAAATTTGAGGCCAACTTGTCTTATTTCCTGGGTGGAATATAAAGTCATGTTTAACGATTTGGCTTGTTGACATGTGAAATACAAAAGTGAGTTTTACTGTTTTGCATTATGCTCAAATAGAGTGAAAGGAAATAGTAAATACAAATGCTTTTGTGAAGCCAGGAAGTGTTTTAAGTTAAAAATGAAAAGACTTTTATTTTGTTGCTTTGTATATGTTCCAATGAAACCCTATTTTGAAATTACTCTTATCTCCATTTCCTCTTTCATCAATAAAAGGAGCAGTGTCTGAAGTAAATGGGAGTAGTTTGGGGACACCTTTGCCAAGCGTAGCATTCCCTGGTCACGGTCATTTGGGTCTGTCCTTCAGTTCAGCTTGAACTCTTCCGTCTCTGTGCTACCGTCACTTGAGGAATATGTTTCCAATCCTTTGCAGCTGCTGTAGGGTGTCCGAGATGACGTTCATTTCTTCTGTTACAACGGCATTCAGTACTAATTTTCTAAGTGCATCTTGTGTGAAACTCAATAAATTCAATTTTGTAATCTTTTTTAAAAAGGTCACTGGATTTACTTTGATCATATTTACTGTTACATTTGATGGAATGCATTTCCTGCCCTTGAGTAAGAATTTCTTTCTGATTTTCAAGCAGTAGGGCTGTCTCAATTTCATTACTCAGAGGGTCTCAAACATCAATGGTTCAAAGCCCCCATGCGCTCCATGGGGAAAGAGAAGAAGAGGAAAGAGCCTGTGTGCCTCCCTTAGAGATCGTGTGGAGCAGGTGTACTCATCAGAATCCACTCGAAGGCAGTGGCATTGGGGTTGGGGTCTTAACAGTGGTGCAAAATGTTTCATACAGTTGTTGAAAACGTTGATTGGGCTTTGATTACACACCATTTAGTAACTCCACAAATGAAGTTATTTGCAGTTTATAAGTGCTTTGACTAGGACTGTCCATTGGAGCCTGGTGGCACAGTGGTTAAGCATTGGCCTGCTCACCAAAAGATTGGCAGTTCGAACCCACCAGCTGTTCACTGGAAAAAGATGTAGCAATCTGCTACCGTTAAGATTTGCAGCCTCAGAGACCCTCGGGGGCCTTTCTGCTGTCGTGTGGGCCACTGTGAGTGGGAATTGACTTGGTGACACTGGGTTCTGACAGTTAAGCATTTGCTTCTTATTTCTGGGGTTAAACTCAAGACAATACTTCCCTTGAAGACTCAAACATAGGTCAGGCCCAGATTACCTTTTCCTTTGAAATAAATCCCAGCTGTCATTCATGAGCTTGATTCAACTCTCTTAGGGACAATGGCCAGCGTTTAGACTTTATATTCAATGGCCATAAATAAATATAGGAGTCCTGGTGGCAAAACACTGAGGCACTCAGCTGCTAGCCAAAAGATAGCAGCTTCAAACCCACCCAGCATCCACTCCAAGGAAGAAAGACCTGGCAATCTGCTCCTATAAAGGTTACACCCGAGAAAACCCTCTGAGGCACTTCTACGCTGTCACAATGGCTTACTGTGGGTTGATAGTAGCACCTAAAAACCACTACATAAGCATGGAAGAAACTTACTAGGCCCTCAAACTTACCTGGAAACTGCTGGTGACTCAGAAATTTACAAAGGAATTTAACATTTTAAATCACTGCATTTCAGTTTCATCCATCTATTCTTTCATCAAAACTTTTTTAATCTGTTATATGTCAGGAAGTATTCTGCGTGTTGAGATCAACAATGAACAAGACCAAGTCCCTGCTCTTCTGGGGAAGTCTCAGAGGACATTTCTCCTGGTGACAGGTGGGACAAGGAACAAGTGATCTTACAGGTCTAGTTAAGTTCTAAAATGAATAACGGTTCTTTAACCTTCTGTTAATTGGACGTTTTTTCTTATTGGATCTGCAGTTGGACAGTTTTCACAATGCTTCTGTAAATGGGAGTATACACAAACTCCCTAGACGGTGACCACTGCTAGCTGATCCACCAGAATTCAATCTCTTCTTCCATGAGCCTAGTAGTAGGAATGTTGCTGAATATGCCTAGTTGATGTTCCATTCTCAGTCCCTCATGCTATTTGGAAACCTCGAAAGTAGAGCCAGAATGCTCCTTAGAAGCAAAGATGACGAGACTTTGTCTCATCTTTAGAATATATCAGGGGGCAACAGTCCCTGGAGTAAGACATCTTGCATAGAAAAACAGAGGGTTAGTGAAAAAGAGGAAGGCCTCAATGAGATGGAATGGTACAGTAGCAAAGCAAAGGGCTCAAACAACAGCATTAATGAGGCTGGTGCAGGGTCAGGCAAGTGAGTGTTTGCTTCTGTTGCGCAGAGTCAGAAGCTGACAATGACAACTTGGTGTTCTATGTTGCCAAGTGATTTACTTCCAAAACAATGGATGCAAGCTGAAAGGGATGTGGGCTGTTCACAGGCAGGCCCCTTAAAACCGTGGGTGACTTACTCTAGTCCTTTTCTATCAGCTAGAACCCAGGGAGGTTGGTGGACCTTAACGCCAGCCATGTAGACCAAGGCTCAACACCCAGAGGACTGCATAGTCATGGGAAGGAAGGGGCCAGCGGAGCCTATTGGCCTAACGAACACTCAGTTCAGACCACGTAACAGAAATTTCTGAGATGCCTCTAAGTCACTGAATCCAGATCTATGTGACAGCAGTTAAGCCGAACTTTGTACAATAGCAACTTTGTACAACGTTTCCGAAGTTAAACACACTAAGAACTCTGAAAACTGTTTAGAGATTTCTATATAAGAGATGTTAGACCTAACTGAAAACATGCTCCTAAAAATACTTTGTCTGGATATTCATATCTGTCACTTGTTTATAGGAACAAGGAGGCAGACTGCTGTATCCGCTGCCTGGAAGGTAGGCTCCCAGCACCCGGGGCCATCTGGAACTGCATACCAAGCCTGCTAATGAGTCCCAAAGTCCTATTTGCTTAACATACTCCTTTTTATTGAACAAATATGCACTGGCCCTGTCTCTCTAGAAACTGTGTACAGTAAGGGAGCAAATTCCAGCTACAAATGAACAACCAAGAGGAGTGCAAGCAATAGGAGTCGATAGAAATATCAAAAAGATGGGCAACTGGGAACAGTTAAATGCTGGGAAGTAGGGTCACCTGGTCCTGGGCCATCTGCGCTGAACTAGAAATGCTGGAACCCAGTCTTGAGCCACTTTTGTGAGTGTCTTCCAACCTAGGGGCTCATCTCTGAGCACTGTTACCAGATAAGGTTCTGGTGTGATTCGTTGGGTTCCGTTGGCTCCTTTGTGGAAGTACATTAC